TGGAATGCAGCTTATGGTATTAGATGTCATTGCTGTGTGTGTTGGTTTTATGTTACAAAGGAAGGCTTACTGGGTGGGTATGGGTATATCTGGAAATGATTGATACTAAAACAAAAGGTATTGTTAGTTAAAAAAATGGCATTTAAAAATTTTAATCATCTGAAATGAGTGTTGAAAATATACTTTCAAATTCTAAGATTAAAAAATGATCACTTACTAGCATGTGGATTTAGAGTATAAATATGTAGAAAGAGCTTGATGAGGTATTTTTTATTATAACCAGTACTTGAATTTGGGGCATTAATGATCTCAGTTTGAGAGTCATATTTATTTCCCATGGTAAGGGCAAGGGATTTTTGAAAGTCTCATGCACCTTATCAGAGCTGGTGCTAAGCATTTAAAAAAATTTCTTTTTCCAATTATATGTAAAGATTTTTAACATTTTTTTAAAATTTTGAATTCCAAATTCTTTCCTTTCTTCCCTTCCTCTTCTCTCTCATTAAGAAGGCAAGCAATTTGATATAGATTATCCATGTACAGGCATGCAAAACACATTTCCGTATTAGTCATGTTGTAAAAGAAAATACAGATCCCCCTTTCCCCTAAAAAACCCAAGAAAAATAAAGTAAAAAAAAGTATGTTTTTACCTGCATTCAGACTCTTATCAGTTCTCTCTGGAGGTAGACAGCATTTTCATCAAGAGTCCTTCATAATTGTCTTATGTCATTGTATTGCTGAGAAGAGCTAAGTCATTCACAGTTAATCATTGCACAATATTGCGGTTATCATGTACAATGTTCTCTTGGTTCTGCTCACTTCACTCTGCATCAGTTCATGTAAGTCTTCCCAGGTTCTTCTGAAAACATCCTGCTTGTCATTTTTTATAGCATAATATATGTGTTCCATCACAATTATATACCACAACTTGTTTAGCTACCATTCTCCAACTGATGGGCATTTTCTCAGTTTCCAGTTCTTTGCCACCACAAAAAGAGCTGGTATAAATATTTTTATACTTACCGGCCCTTTTCCTTTTTTTTTTTTTTTAAATCTCTTTGTAGTGGTGCTAAGCATTGTTTAGAAGTGATGAGATCCTTAACTAGAATGGCATGTAAGGAAAGAGAATGGGACCAGATATAAGAGAATCTTAGTTAGAATAGATAGGCCATGGCAATAGATTGGATATGAGAGGTGAAGGAGAATGGAAGGTGCCTTTGATGTTATGAAATTTTGTGAATGCCAGGATGGTGGTACCCTTAGAGAAGTAGTTTCCTGGTTAAGAATTTAGGATCAGACAAACAAATGGGAGAAGGATCCACATGTACAAAAATATCCATTGCAGCTCTTTTTGTGGTGGAAAAAAAAAGAAAATGAGGGACAAACAACCACTGTTCTTGAAACTCAAAAAAAAAAAAGTTACTCCTAGGATCTTCATTTGGGGAAGGGCCTCAGACAGGCCAACCTCTATTTCCCTCCTACCTGTGCTGTTGACCTTCCCAACTTCTATATCATGCTCCCACATGGTACCTGCATCTCTTGCTTGTCCTTTTCTTCACCCACCCTGATCTTTTAGCTCCTTTTTATGCATTGTCTTCCCCCATTAGAATATGAGCTTTTTGAGAGCAGGGGCTGTCTTTCTTTTTGCTTATATTTGTATCTCCATTACTTAGCACAGTGCCTAACACGTAATAACAGCTTAATAAATGTTTGTTGCTTGTTTCCTATCCTGCACTTTGTAATCAGCTCCCTTAATTGTTTACTATTTCATCCCCAATTCTAACCTCTTTCTTATACTTCCCTCTTCCTGCTCCCCATCCCAGCAAAGTTCCGCATTTGATTTGTTATATTTCTGTACTGTGTTCTTTATGTTTTCTTAATCTTTCTTTTGCTACTAAGAATGACATCCATGAAATACCTCTTCTTTCCATTCTAGTCTTCCTATAGCTGGGTGGCTCACTGTAACTGGAGTCAGGAAAACCTGAATTTAAATCTAGCTTCAGACAGTCATGTGACTATGTGACACTGGAGAAATAACTGCTGTTTGCCTCAGTTTCCCCATCTGTAAAATGTAGATAGTTGTAGAAAATTCTTCCCAGGATTTTGGTGAGGCTAAAACAAGATAATCTATGTATAGTGTTTTGCAAAATTAAAGTACTATAAAATGCTATTTATTATCATTTAAAAAAAAGAATTTAGGATCAGAGGTCTTAGATTAAATGGGAAAAAGGAAAACCAATATGCCCTTCCCTTTTTCTATTATGATTATGAGAGGAAAGAATGGAGCTTTTTAGTTCATTTGAGATCTTATCTAAATCTGCCTACTTTTTTTTGGTGAGGGTTAAGTGACTTGCCCAGGGTCACACAGCTAGTAAGTGTCAAGTGTCTGAGGCCAGAATTGAACTCATTTCCTCCTGACTTCAAGGCTGGAGCTCTACCCAGTGTGCCCTTATCTGGCTACATTTTGAGAGGTGGAATAGGGTCTCTTACTGAGGAAAAAAGGGAGAGTAAGGCTACGGCTAAAAGTGTGATGCAAAGGTCTAAGCCTAAGGCATGAAGTAGCTAGCTTTAGAGGCTTTTCAAGCAGTGCCAGATCATGTTAGAACTACTGCTGCCTGTACACAAATGGCCCTGGAGATTTTCCCTCCTAAGTGAAGTTTTAGAGTCTTTATGTCTCTAGCTTTAGAATAGTCCTTGACATATTATTAAGTAGTAACTGATAACAAGTAAGCCAAGCAGTCTTTCTTTTCATTCTCGATCTTTATTGTGTTTTTCTTTTTAATGGAAACTATTATGTAATGCAAATTGTTTTCACAGTTAGGTTTTTGTTGAAAAATATCCGTCTTCTGTATGTATATTTTAATCTTGCTTATGAAAGTCCCCAGTGTTTGCTGAGCTGCAGAAGTGGTGCTTGGCACTGCTGTCACCTGGTGATATCTACTAGTATTGCAGGCATAAGGTTTAGGGGGAAATAATGAGGGTTTAGAGACATCTTGAAATACTAACATATTACATTGCAAGTTTTTTCCATATCTTTATCTTGTTCTGATAGATGAGAAGGACTTGGTGCAGTTAGCATGATCTAATAGGAACAAGCTGATCTGGAGCACCTCTTTAGAGGAAATTACTCTTCAATTTGGATTTTACACTAGATCTTTTCCGCAACAATAATGAACATAAACACCTTGTTGAGGAAGAGACTTTTAAAAAAATTTTTTTTTATTTTTATTTTTTATTTTTAACATGTGTTTTTGAAACTTTGGCTTACAAATTTTCTCCCTCCCTCCCTCCCCACCCACCCTCATTGAAAAAAGGCAAGCATCTCGATACAGGTTGTAGATGTGTAGGCTTGCGAAACACTTCCATAGTAGTCATGTTGTGGAAAACTAAGTATGTTTCCCTTCATCCTGTCCTACTCCCCATTTATTCTGTTCTCTTTTGACCCTGTCCCTTCTCAGAAGTGTTTGCTTTTGATTATCCTCTCCCCCAATCTGCCCTCCCCTCTCTCAACCCTCTCCTCTCTTGTCCCCTTTCCCCCTTGTTTTCCTGTAGGGTAAGATAGATTTCCATACCCCATTGTGTATGTTATTCCCTCCTTACATCAAATCCTTTGAGGATAAGATTCATTTATTCCCTCGCACCCTTCCCCCTTTCCCCTCCACTGTAAAAGCCTTTTCTTGTCTGTTTCATGTGAGATAATTTACCACATTCTACTTCTTCCTTTCTCCTTCTCCCAGTATAATCCTCTCTCACCCTTTAATTTTATTTTCAAGATATCACCCCTTCATCTTCAACTCACCCTGTGCCCTATATCTATCTATACATATGTGGAAGAGACTTTTAAGGCATTAAAGTATTAATGATTAATAGGTGTGAAGCTACTGTGTGTGTGTTTAAACAATTTTTTGGTGTCTCTTATTCTTTGCTTCTGAATATAATTTTCCAAATTTTATTTATCTTTGACCCTTACCTTTGACCAAATTTGCATTGAGGTCAAGTATCAAAGTACTAATTGATCTAATTTGGAGAATCTCAGAGGGTGGTGATGAGGTCCTGTAGGCAAGGTATTTGGATATACAGGTCTAGACCTTGGAAAAGACATTGGGGAAAACTGTGGGAAACAGCTCCATTTAGAAAATAGCTGTATAAGAGAGCCAGGGTTGGTGAGATATCCAGAATGGGGAGGGATTGGGAAGGGCTGGTCTATGACATTAACTACAGAGAAGCTGAGGAAGATGAGACTGAATTATTTATACTTAACTGATTATACTTTGAATATAACTCCCTTGTGTTAAAAATTTACAAGCAGTTCAAAAAAATCAACTAGGAATTTTACCTTTTATGCCAAATTATAGAAGGAAAAATTCTTCCCCTTTTTTGAAGAATTGTGTTATGGGGATATTTTGGAGGCTGTATGATTCCTGAGAATCACACATTCAGAGCCTGCCTATTGACCATAAAGATAAGCTTGATTTATACTTTTTTGGGGTACCTTGGGATTTAGGAAGAAGAGGAAAACCTCTTACTTCGATGTAGATCAATCCCACAATCCTGTCTTCATTGGTATCATGTCTTACCCAATTGAGCTAGCCAATCAGACCACTTCTGTGTTTTCTTTTTATTCAAACTCTGTAGGAACCAGCAATTCAGACATTTATAAATAGGTCACCTTGGAGGCTAGAGACTTCAAAATTTCCCTTTAATATTATTTATATAGATTTATGGTAAAAGAAAAGTGGTTAGTTTCTTGACTCAAGAAGCAATTTTTTTCAGTAAATAGTCTACAGTGAATTACTCTGAAGACATTTTAACATGAAGCATTTAGTTAGTATATTGTCTTAACTGATTTTAATGTTATTTGTCCAGAGCCACTTTATACAGGTATTTTTTGACAAAGTATGGCATATTAGTTCACTTTGTCTTGCTATAGCTGTATGTAGTTTTTAGATCTTAAGTTAAATTCCTTGATTGCTCACTGTTCTCTCTCTCTCTTTTTGTTAAAGGAATATTAAGTTTGGTTGTTGCACTCATGTCCACCCTGTTTACATTTCCTTCAAAAGCGATCACTTAAATTGTTGGACTAAAAGACCCGAACAAACATATATGGTAATAACATCTCCTAAATCATGGACGCTTCTTTCCCGTTTGTGCTCTCTGGAACCTCCACGCGTTTCTGTGCGATGCTTGCATTCTTCTTGTCCCCTTCGAGATGACTCAGTAGTGGAAAAGTCCCTGAAGTCTATTAAGGATAAAAATAAGAAGCTTGAAGAAGGTGGACCTGTGTACAGCCCCACTGTAGAGGCGGCTGTGAAGAAATCACTTGTTCAAAAGGTTGTGGATGAGTTGAAGCACTATTATCATGGTTTCCGATTGTTGTGGATCGATACAAAGATTGCTGCCCGAACACTTTGGCGAATTCTCCATGGTAGCACCTTATCTCGGAGGGAGCGGAGACAGGTAACAGGGAGTGAATGTTTTTTATTTCCTGTGTTTGATTTTGCTTGATTTCATGTTACTTTAAACATTCTTAGTTTAAATGGGTTAGGAACAGAGAAGTTATTTTTTTGTAGGATTATGTAAAGTATTTTCATGCTTTATGAGGACTAATTCATGGTTATGCTTATATGGAAAAAAGATCCTTCTCTCCCCCAGTCTGCCTCCCCCCTTCTTTTTTAAGTGTAAAGATTAACATTTTGAGAATTAATTCAAGGTAATCTATAAGCCAGTGGCCTTTCTAGATGATTGGGCTGGATGGTAGAAGACTTCGATCTCTTCTTACTGAGTATCCATCCTAGAGACTAAATGCTTCGTTGTTCTCTTCTGCACTTAAAGAAAGGAATAAACCTATTCTCTCAGGCAATTATGTAGGAATTTTTGAGGAGATTCACTGAATATGTTTTGATAAGTTCTTCATGCTCTTGGTGTTGTATAGAATATATGTAGAATTATGAATAATTGATATGCAGTGTAGTACTTATTAGGGAAACAAAATTAAGACACATTGAAAGCCCTAAAATTTGCATTTTAGGTATCTTTTAAACTAATGATATAGAGTAATCATAGTAATACTCAGATGTTTAATACTCTAGACAAAAGCATTAATAGAATGTATTTTTGTAGTGTTTTCACTGAGTGCTGTAAAGGGATGTATCTGACAAATATATTGGGTTTGTATCAGCAGTTTTTGTGTTATTAAACTTGAAGAAGAAAAAAGAAAAGCATGTTATCCTGATCCAGGAGAACTTTTTAGATTCAGGTCTTTTCCCTGAAAATGAATATAAGAGTAAGAGACTTGGAAGGACAGATGAACTTTGTGTACCCCCAAAACAATTGAGTTGAGACTTTGGAAAGTAGGAAGGATACACAGATTACTACTTGACTACATCAAAGTCTTGGAGTCCTATGGTCTGAGTGTCTGTTAGTTTGTTCACTGCTTGAAAACTAATGAAACGTTATCCTCATTTGGGTGTTTGGAATAAAAAAGAGAAGCTTTATGAAATCCTCTATACAAGTGTGTGTGCATAAGCACAACCTTTGAAAGGAAAATAATGGAAAGCTTTTTTCAGATTTCTTGTTTAAAACATTCAATGACAATTACTGGTTATAAGTTTTACATTTTTTATTATGCCTTGTTAAAAAGAGTAGGATGTTTGGTTGTGATCTATAAAAATGTGATTTCTAATTCAGCTTTTCAAATTCTAATAAGTTGTTTTTTATTTGTGTGATTTTTTTTCAAATAGCTTTTATAGAGGGGAAATGCAAAATATTCAAATCCAAAAAATCCAAATAGCTAAATAATCTTAAGTAGTAATAAATAAACTCAATTTGGAATGATTTAATTGAATAATTTAATTAAATAATTTAGTTTTCTAGGTGTAATTTGTATCATTGAATAGCTGGGCATGTCAGAATTATACTGTTAAACATTTATTTTTGTCAACATATTGTTTTCTTATACACATTATGGTTTGAGTCAGGTGTTTATTGATCTCTGGGTTAATTTTAAGCATCAATACTGGAAATTATACTTGTATTTCATAATTACTCATTGAAATAACACATAAAGCTAATTATCTTAGTAGATGCCTGCTTTATTGAGGAATTCAGAATTGAAATTCTTAATGTTGGGTGTGTAAATGAATAAGAAAATCTAGTGTGTAAATATAGTGTCTGTTAATTTTTAATGTGGTTGCCTTAAAAAAAAAGTCTAGTAGTATGTTGTTTTTACCTAAGTGTTCAGTTGGAAACTTTTGAATAGCAAAGATCAAAGGAGTAGTATCCTTATGACAATTCAAAGTAGCAGCAGGAAACTAAGGCACAATGAACCCTTAGAATTTAAGAACCTGGGGAGACAGGCAGATTGACAGCAAATTTGGTGTGTAATGTCTACAAGGGTTTTTTTGTTTTGTTTTGTTTTGTTTTTGTGTTTTAGATCAATGAAGCAACTAATTAGGCTTAGCATATAGAGTATTTCTCTTTGGAAATGTCTGAATAAATGAATTTCGTTATTACATTTCAGTACAAGTGTAGTTTAATAGTGTAGACTTTGGGGATGGTGAGGAGCAGAGCTGCTTCCTGGAGTTTTTCCCCTCAGTTTAAGATTGCATGTTCATTGTAATTCGAGGTTGAATGCATGATCAGAGATCTCTTCCGAAGGGAAAAATGTATCCAGTAAAGGGTAACAAAATAATTGAGGTTGTGCATTGCAGACCGACCATATGGTGTTTCTTGCCTTTTTTCAGGGAAGTAACTGGCAGCTTGTTGTATTGTCAGCTGGCCTTTTGTCTCTCTATTTTCTGAAGCATGCCACTGCTAGTGGGGAGTGTTCTAATGATGGACCTGTTCCTGGCTGGAGTGAAAGTGTGGGAAATGCCATTAATATATGTTAGACATTTAATATCAAATGATAAATTCATAGTTCAGAAAATAACTGCAAATAAACGAGTCTTGACATTAAAAATATTTTGTCACCTTTATAAGAAATTTTATTTTCTAAATGTGTGGTCTTTTAGAAACTAAGTTTAAGGAAAGGAGATATTGTCAAAAATCTGATTTTATTTTTTTCAGTATTTTTACTTTTCAGAAGGCCACACATAATTGACAGCATACATGGAAAACATTAGAATTATGTAACTAGATCAATATTTATAGTAATAATACCTGAATTTTTAAATGGCTGTTTATAAAATGCTTTCCTCACAACCCCGAGGGATAGCACTGTAAGTTTTTTTCTTCCAGTTTTGTATATGAGGTGACAGAGACTCAAAAAGAGTTGGAAATACTTGTCTATAGTTACTTCCTTGATGGGTAAATGCCAGAGGTAGGCCTGGAGCCCAGGCCTCTGATTCCACCTTTTTCTCCCGGGGTGTATTATCATGTATACCTTAGAGCTCAAAAAAGGCATCATAAATTGCCTACAAGAAGCTGCTGTGTGAAAGGTCCCTTTCCCTAGTCATCTTGGAAGGTTCCATTGTTTTGCTCTCCTTTGTCTGAGATAGGAGGAAGTGATGACATAGAGAATGAGAAGGAGAGCATTATCTGTCCTGGAGCCATTGTCTGCTGCCTCCGTTTTTCTTCCTTAGAGCAGGAAGTGAATGTAGCATGTATGACACCCATCTGCCATCAGTTATTAGGTGGCAGACATTTTGAAACATAGCTATGTCTACTAATTAGAAAATAAATTGAATGGTATAAAATGATTTGGCATGTAATATAGTGATGTGTGTATCATAAAAGGTGATGAAAGAATTTGAATAAAATGTCAATAATTATAATACTTGCAGAAAAAGTCTTCTTTCAGAGTCTTATTGTAGGGCAATATAGAATCCCTGGCAGGTTTTATGAAACTGAAAAGGCTTCAGGTAGGTCAGGTGATAGATTGTACTTCTGGCATCTGAAGACCAGCCTGGCTAAGATTGGGCAAACTCATTAAATGGCAGGCTGTATGCTTTTAACTGGTACCTCATGAAAACTATCATTTAAGGCAGAGAAAACTTTCAGTCTCCATCCGTGGAGAGAACATCTACACTGATGAAATCTTAGATTCTTGAAGGACTGAAAAGGAGAAAAATCACATATAAAAAATTATCATGGAATAAAGTACACATGATGAGAAACTGAGGTTCATTAAAGAAGCCAAAGCGCTGTATAAATGACAGCTGTGGTTTACCTAGAATGTTAGTCTGATCATTATTAAAAAGAGGCTATGGAAATTATATTTGTATAGAGGATCACAGTAATAGAAAGGTAGACATTATTTCATAGTTAAATATACATGGAATAGAGACTTTTCTGAAAAGTTCTTAAAATTTCTGTTTTATATTCTTCCATTTTTCCATTGACTTCCTTATAAAACAAGAGAAATTCCTTTGCTTGCCCTAGAGTATAATAAAATCATACTTAGAATATGGCAAAGAAAAATTTTCTTTTCTTTTTTTATTAATTTATTTTGATTGATCAGTATTCATTTCCATAAGCTTTTGAGTTTTCAATTTTTCTCCCCCTCCCTCTCTATCTCCCTCCCCAAGAAGGTAAGCAGTCTGACATAGGCTATCCATATATATTCCTATTAAATATATTTTCATATTAGTCATGTTGTAAGGAAGAATTAGAACCAATAGAAGAAACCATAAGAAAGAGGAAACAAAATAAAACGGAAGAAAAAAAAAGAGCAAATAATATGCTTGGATCTGCATTCAAACTCCATTATTCTTTCTTTGGATGTGGATAGATGAGGCCTTTGGAAATGTCTTAGATCCTTGTATTGCTGAGGAGGGTTAAGTCTATCAATATTAGTCATCACACAACGTGGCTGTTATTGTGTACAAAGTCCTCTTGGTTCTGCTCACTTCACTCAGCATCAGACCATACAGGTCTTTCCAGGTTTTTCTGAAGTCTGCCTGTTCATCATTTCTTATAGCTCAATAGTATTCCATTACATTCATATGCTACAACTTGTTCAGCCACTCCCCAACCGATGGGCATCCTCTCAATTTCTAATTCTTTGCCACCGCGAAAAGAACTGCTGTAAATATTTTTGTACATATGGGTCTGTTTCCCATTTGTATGATCTCTTTGGGATAGAAGTACTTATTGTTGGGTGTGCACATTTTTATAGCCCTTTGGGCATAGTTCCAAATTGCTCTCCAAAATGGTTGGATCATTTCGCAACTCCACCAACAATGCATCAGTGTTCCAGTTTTCCCACATCTCCAACATTTATCATTTTCCTGTTTTGTCATGTTGGCCAATATGATAGGTGTGATGTGGTACCTCAAGAGTTGTTTTGATTTGCATTTCTGTGATCAATAGTGATTTAGAGCATTTTTTCATATGACTATAGATGGCTTTAATTTCCTCATCTGAAAACTGCCTGTTCATATCCTTTGACCATTTATCAATTGGGTAATGACTTGTATTCTTATAAATTTGACTTCATTCTGTATATATTTTAGAAA